TATATATATATATCTGTGTGAATAGGAAGGCAAAAAATGGATTTATCAGCCAAGTTTATTTGCCTTCCCAAGCAAATAATAGCTGTTTTTCAGGCAGGGAAGGAAGGGGTTCAAGTATAGAGTATAGCATAAGCATGGACAGCTTTTTGTGATTTGAGGCCATGTTTTTAATTTTGGGGAGATTAAAAAAGCCATGGGAGACATGTCTGGCTTTTATGGCCTTTGGGGGAAAAGGGACCAGATGAGGACCTTAAGACAGGAGCAATCCTCCCCTTTAGAAGGGCCACCAATAGGAAAAGTCTACTGATTGGGAGGTGTGTTTACGAGTGATGAAAACATTAGGGTCCAGGCACACATTTTGTCCCTTAAGTCCCCCACACACACTCTGCAGGGGTCTTGTGGGCTGTACATGGGGTGCAAATTGGTTACTCCTGGTTTATGGGAAGTGTTCTCCTTCTCAGTGCTGTAATCCCTACCCAGATGTGTCCTGCTCAGTGGCTACTTCATCTTCTTTAAACAAAGATCCTTTCATCATTGTTCATTGGCCCTAACATATTCTTTTGACTTCCGGTGGGACTTACTTATTCTTTTGACTTCCAGTGGGACTTACTTATTCACAGCAAAATGTTACCTGCAATAGAACCGGTACCACAGTCAACAGAGAGCTGTAGGAATTTTCTTTTTCTAGGGCAGATGAATGGCTCTCAGCAGCAATTGACTGTTTGGAGTATCTCCCAGATGCGATGGTGGTTGAAGTAAGCCGCAGTTTACCTGATCGGCCTGACAAAGTGCATGTGGGGAAACTGTTGTTGTTTGATACTATTGGGAGGTATTACAGCCAAAAGAAGGAACCATTGCTAAATCATGTGCCTGAAATCCACCTGGGAATTGCTGAGTTGCTAGGTAAGTGAATGCTTACATATGTGAAAAGCAAAGTGCTTAATTTGTCATGCTTTCCCTTATATTATGCAGGAGTGGCTCTGTGCTGGTGAAATGGGGCCATCCAGAAGAAAACAAGTATCCATGGGATTTCCAGGCATGCTGCTTCTATTTTGAAAAGGGGGGGAAATGTACAAAGGCTTGCTTATAAAGACAATGGAGAGGCATAAATACAGGCTGTTACTTATTTTCTTGTAACCTAAGATGCGATGGGAGTAAAAAGAATTGAGGTCAGATGTGCATTTAAAATACATGTATTTAGTTTCAACAAGTGTATTATGTTTCAGGTTCACATGTCACACTAAACCATGCTTTGTTTTACCATAGTTTATTAAGTGAACTATAATGGCCAGGTTACACAACATGTTAAGTCATAATCCATGATTTAGAAACCACAGTGCCAGAGTTCATAGCTAAGCCAAAATCAAGCAACAACGATGATTTATCACAGTGTGTAAAACCAGTCTATGTGAGGGCCAGTGAAGGTGAGCAACTGTATCGAATACGAACTGTCTGCCAGTTTCTTCAACATGCAGCATTATAGGATAAATTCTTCTACTGATGCAATGATGTCACCCATAAAGCTTTACCTGTATGAACCTATGTAACATGCAGAGGATCGGTGACATTTATACATATGAAAGTGATCCTCTCCAGATCAGAAGTTTGAAAGCCATGGGACCATTACGATCCTAACCAAAGCTATCTTTACTACAGATGCCTGCAGGTCATGTATTTGCATGTAATCCTTAATCATGACTGGGCTTAGAATTAATTTCTAAAGCTAAGCAGACAACAGCCAATATGTGGACAGCTCATGTACTCTTTACAAGAGGAAACTTCCATAATGAATAATGGATATCTATTATGATGTGATAGGGATTTGCCAGCAGATTATATTCTGCTGGTTTGTCATTACTGCCAGAGATAGTGGTCTTATTGTTATTATTTATAGCTAACAAATAACTAGGATTCTAATTAGATCAGAAGCTGTGAAGTTTGATAAAGTGATCATTTTCAGAAATATTTATGGTCTTACTAAACGTCTTATTTTAGTAAGAAATAGACTATCATGCCAACTGACTGGTAGGGATCTTGTCTACAAAAGTTATCCTTGGAGACTGATTCTATGTCCCTGTTTTTTGTTTTTTGTTTCTAATGGCACTGGTGCATAGCATGAAAAAAACTGTATATTGATTTAATCAATCTGATCTAAGTAAATTTATATTTCAGCATTCTTACATAGTTTGTAATAAGAGGGAGGTGGCAAACTCTGCACATTTTGGTCATTCAGTACTTAAATAGAAAAAGCAATGTAGCAATTTTGTTTTGTTTTCCTTCTAGTTAATGGAAAGACTGATCAGGCTTTGGAAGCCATTCAGCTCTATTTGAAGTTATTGGATAGCCCAGCCAGAGAGGAGTTCAGGAAGCTGCTTTATTTCATGGCTGTGATAGCTCAGAATTCTGAACTTAAGCTGCAAAGTGAGGCAAGTACATTGCATGTGAACCTTCTTCATGCTCTTTGGTGACACTGGAGACATTGGAATGCTAACAGAGAACTTGGGGACCTTCAGATGGGCTAAACTACAACTCCCAACAACCTCATTGGGAGCAATCAATACTGTAGTTCAGAAACATCAGGAAGACTGCAGGTTCCTGAATCCTGCGTTAGACAGTGGATTTTCCCTGTGTCACTGATTAATAGTTGAAATCAAAGACTATATAGGAAAAGACGACAATTTTACTTGTGAGCTGCCTAGAATCGTTGGGAGTTGCGCAGCATACAAATGTAATAAATAAGTAAACTTTCTATGGCCGCATCATTCCTCCTGAGAAAGAGGAGCACTGAAGTGAGAAGGTGACCTCAGCATGGATTTCTACCCCGTGATTTTGAACTTCTAATATTGCCAAGCAATACAGGGAAGCTTTAAATTACAGCGGCTGACACAGCTAAGCACTGGAAGGGACTCCATGGGAAGAATGCAAAGAATGCTTGCATATAGGTTGCACTGAAATAAATCATCCTCATTCATATAATGTTTAAAATTGCTTGTATTTGTGTAACTGTGGTTGACTGCACTTTTATAAGTTGATCAATTTACTGAGAACTAAGGAGCAAGCATTTGAAAACAGAATATATGCTGTAATTTTAGCATTACAAACTCTTAATCCTTCTGCTTTCCCCCCATGGTTTATAGAGTGAAAACAGGATGGTTGTGAAAAGAATGTTCTCCAAAGCCATAGTCAACAATAAGACATTATCTAAAGGAAAAACAGATCTTTTGATTTTATTTCTAGTGGACTATCAGAAAGACGTTTTAAAGGTAGGTATCTCTAAGTCATCTTCTCCACACTATTATGCGTAGTCTACTCCATTTTTAATGACTGACATGTTGTTTTATTTTACTCAAGATTCCAGGGACACTGCATAAAATGGTCAGTGATAAGCTTCTGGCTATACAGAGAGGCACAGATTCCAGTCTGAATACTGGTAAACATTATTTTCATAAGCTTTAGTCATGTTAATAATAAACTTTAATGTGAGCTGCCCTGGGCATAGTCCACTATGAAAATGAAGCTGCTAAATAAGCTAGTCTAGAAAAATCTGCTCTTTGAGGGGGAAGAGTGACATTAAAAGTAAATAAATTTATCAAGATGGACTATTCTATATTTTACATGATGCTTTAACTTATTCAGAAGTTCTGAATATCACAGTGCTTACCATTTTCTAACACTAAACATCCTAAACTTCATGAAAAGAGAGTTAGGATTAATCTAGGGCCATGTGACCCCTTCAGGTCTAAAGTGCATTTTCCATGAGAAGGGGTAAGAGGCTTAAGCAAGACAGATCCTCCACCTTTATCTAAAAAGATGGAAATCTCCAGGATCACTCTATGAATTGTAAATAAGTGAATATTGTGTGAACATTTAAGAAAACCACTACAAACACCCCAAATTTCTATATTTTTAATAATGAATTTTATTCTTGTTCTAGGATATACTTTTTGCCAGAGGCTTGATGAATGTGAATATCATTTCAGTGCCAAAAAGACTACAAAAGAGGAACTAGTGTCTTTACTAAAAACTATTGATGAGGACTCCACTCTCTCTGCCAAGGAGCGAAAGAAGTTACTAGATCAATTCTATACTAGTAATCCAACTATCTTTCTGCAGTATTTTGGTGAGAGAGATGCTTCTGATGATGGTGTATAATGTTAGACCTGATGAACATAAAGACTTATGGAAATCTGTACTTTGTATTTTATGAAATTGTTTTATATTGTACTTAAAAGTGTTCTGTAAATAGGGGTGGAATCCACCTGTAAAACTACTATTTAAAAACAATAAAACCTACTGATTCATATTCTAAATAGTGAATGGGAATGTATAGTTTTTCTCCTAAATGCCAAGGGAATACATCACCAAAAGCTGAAAGCAAGCATCTTTTGACCTCTTTTGTGAGCACAAGCCCTTTGAATGGAATGCAGTTCAGGGTAAAGACAGTTGTAATTGGATTACTGATGTTTTTGGTTGTAGAGTATGTTCTTGTTACAGTTACATGACCTCTGGCCATGTGTCTCACTTCTGGCAGTCTATCCAATTTACTGTCATTTGATATATTCCAGTAGTATGCTGAAGTACAGCTGGTGCCCACTGCAGACATGGTCCAGGTGAGTGGTTGACCAGTACCACAAACTCACCAGCTCAGAAAATAAGTGTCCATTCCTTGTATTTGGAGGCCAAATGACTGACAGAAAAGCCATTTATATTGCATTAAAATTATTACTGAATCTTTGTAACCCCTTTCTTTTTTTTACAACCCTAAAACTGCAGAAGGAAATCTAGAATTAACACCTCAAACATTTTTTTAAACATGATCATGACCTATGCAACACATGTATAAATTTACGGTAGAAATCTACTTTGCTGTGGCAAATGAAGCTTCTGGGTTCCTTGTCTAATTAAAGAGAGTAGTTGTAAATCACCCTTGATGCCATACAACTAGTTCTGCCCTTACATGGAAAAACACTTGTATCAGTGTGGAAAGATTTAATGCTGAATAAAAGGAAGTTAAGCCAAGTGTGAGTAAAAGTTTCCAATATATCCCGTGAAAGATACTCCATTCCTAGGAAACTTCTATGCTCTTTGTATGCTGCAGAAATGTTGATTATAATACCTTTAGATTACAAATACCTATTCAGTAGCAATTGACATCAAAATACTTAATCCACTGGCCTCCTGCGTTAAATCAGATTTTAACTTGGAAATGTTTGTCTCTTTTTCTGAGTTCTCATTAGCTCCAGTATGCTACCTTATGATATCTCTGGCAGGATATATTTGTTTTGAAATAATGCTATGGGCTGGTACTCAATATTATAGGTTTAGAAGGTTGCTTTCAAATATTTTGTACAAAGGAAGAAGTTTGAAACTCAGAGTGGTAAAAATAAGTAATCGAGATGCATATTTTGATCTTTTTCTACTTTTGGACTAAACTAGATGTGGAAAGCATAGATGTATATTCTAGTTGAATCCTTCACTTGCTTCAGTTGAGTTTTGGCTATTTCCATACAGTAGTAGTTTTGCAGACTTTATACCAATTTCTCCAAGAGCATCTCCTGCAGGAAGAAAATTGACAGGTTTGTTTTTAGCAGTATATTAAAATGAGAGAAGCACAAGCGTTACTTGAATAAAATATCCAAACACTTGCTTTGATAAAGAATATGAACTGTTAATAATTACTAGAGCCAGGCAGAGATCTGGATTCAAAAAGAAAAAAGTTATTTGGAACATAGCGTGTTGCACTTGTTGCCATATCCTTAAACCCATATTTTCCTAGGGTTGTATGGCTTCTCCTATGCAATCACAGGAAAAGACACAGCTTTTTTAAGGAGTTGCTGGAAATGTTAAATGAAATATGAGAAACAAATGGGTTGCTACACTTTCTTTTACCGATAACACTATTTCAAACCCAAGTTCATCATTACCATATTAGGAAAAAGCCTTCCAAGAACATTAAACCACTGAAAATTATTTGGATGCCATTTTTTTTCTCACCCGGTGAGAAAACATACCTGGTACCTTTCCATTCGTAAATATGTATCTATGACTTGGAGCACAAAGATTTTCCATTATGCTGTCTTTATGCTCAGGCAGACCATCTACTTCAGGGGTTGACAGACCACAGGCATACCCTGTCTTGTTTGGCCCTCAAAGCTCCCAAGTCACTGCTGCCAATAGAAAGGAGACAGGCATGTTAATCCTCTGAAGTCTACTTTAAATTTTCTAAATGCCCCTCAAAGTTGAAAATGTGAATACTGCAACCTCTAATGACATCAGCTCCATACTTCCTACAGATCTGAAATAATTCTTAAAAAACATGTCTCCTCGATATATAGTTTGCCCACCTCTGCTGTATTGATCATGTTTGTGGTACTTTTATACTGCCTAATAGAGGAGTTTTCTTAAGATTCAACACTAACTCTGTTGGCCGAAAAATTTTAGCCTCATTGTCAGAAAAAGTGATACGTTTAAGGTACCTCTTCTATATATAAAGTAAATGTGTCACTGAGCTGTAGTCATTCCAATGTGTAGTGGGTAATATGATCTTGAGGTAGCCAAGTGTACTCCAGATTAATTTGTGATAGAAGTATTTTTCCAGGGTGAGAAAATGTATATAAACTCTGACCTGAGTATGTCTAGAGTAGCTCCTTAGAATGGGTCTGTAGCAGCTTGGGCTCTAAAGAACTGCTGTGCCAGCAAAGAGAGCAAAGTCCACTAAGATCAGTAACTGATTTTTAGCTGCACAGATCACACATGGTGACAAGATATTACAGGAGATAGCTAGCTCAAATGTAAAGGCTAGCATGCAAAGTCTTGTGAGCTCTGGCTCCATCATGCATTTGTGTAGATTTTGAGCTGGATTATTGACACTTCCAGAAGCCAAAAATGTATTTATATCCATCCTTTTCCTAAGCAAGAGGCCATACACTTTGTGGATAGACTGGTAGTGTCCATTGCCTGTAACAAATCAAATGTGTTACTTATTTTCCAAAAGTACTGATGTCCCTTTTGTACTGTTAGTACAAACATACAAGGCACATACAGATTTGTAGCATCTTCTTGCTAATTCATTGCAATGTCATACAGTGGCCAATGGTGGTTTAGATGTAAATTTGAACAAAGTTTATGTTGACATAAATGAACAATCAAGGAGTTTTGGGATCATGTATTCCTCCTTCCACTCACATGTAAGCATTTATTATTCGAGACAGCCCAGGATCTGCAATTTTCACTGAAACCAGCACAAAAGGGAAAGCATTGCCACACATGAGGGAAGGAATGAATATGTGAATCTGTAGGGTATGTCCAGGAATCAGAGTTTGTTATATAAGACTATTAGACTGTGTTCTCATGCACACTGGAGCTTGGCACTGTTAGAAGAGAGATCCTTTGCCTTCCTTTGTTGCTAACAACATTAAAATATTAATTTCCTTGCTGATTGCCAATATTTGAGATATGAGTTTCCAGACTCTTTTGGTGGTTGTATTCACAGAGTACATAAGAAGGCTCATCCTTCAAAATCAATCCAATCAAAATCAGGCCAAATTGATCAAAATCAAGCCAAAATCAATCAAAAAAGTAGAACATTCTGCTCCCAAACCATTTCAAGCTTTGCTGCCAATAATATACAGTCAGGTCCAGAAATATTGGGACATCGACACAATTCTAACATCTTTGGCTCTATACACCACCACAATGGATTTGGAATGAAACAAACACAATGTGCCTTAACTGCAGACTGTCAGCTTTAATTTGAGGGTATGTACATCAGAGGGTTCACCACAAGATGTAAACCATTGGTGAGCCTCAAAAACAGCAGAGGGTTCACCACAAGATGTAAACCATTGGTGAGCCTCAAAAACAGCAGAGGGTTCACCACAAGATGTAAACCATTGGTGAGCCTCAAAAACAGCAGAGGGTTCACCACAAGATGTAAACCATTGGTGAGCCTCAAAAACAGCAGAGGGTTCACCACAAGATGTAAACCATTGGTGAGCCTCAAAAACAGCAGAGGGTTCACCACAAGATGTAAACCATTGGTGAGCCTCAAAAACAGCAGAGGGTTCACCACAAGATGTAAACCATTGGTGAGCCTCAAAAACAGCAGAGGGTTCACCACAAGATGTAAACCATTGGTGAGCCTCAAAAACAGCAGAGGGTTCACCACAAGATGTAAACCATTGGTGAGCCTCAAAAACAGCAGAGGGTTCACCACAAGATGTAAACCATTGGTGAGCCTCAAAAACAGCAGAGGGTTCACCACAAGATGTAAACCATTGGTGAGCCTCAAAAACAGCAGAGGGTTCACCACAAGATGTAAACCATTGGTGAGCCTCAAAAACAGCAGAGGGTTCACCACAAGATGTAAACCATTGGTGAGCCTCAAAAACAGCAGAGGGTTCACCACAAGATGTAAACCATTGGTGAGCCTCAAAAACAGTTTCATTCCAAATCCATTGTGGTGGTGTATAGAGCCAAAGATGTTAGAATTGTGTCGATGTCCCAATATTTCTGGACCTGACTATATAAGAACATACTTTCCATATTGCATCTCCAAATAGAAGATGTGTTATTCTTGGCAGCAAGGTATGGGAGCTGAATGTTTAATTCTATTAAATTACAAATGCCGTACAGGTAAAAATGTAATGTTAAAAAAGAGATGTATAATTTTCATCACTGTATCCTAGCTGCACCCTATTATGCACACTAGAGAGGTATAGCAGATTTTGAGCTTGAATTTGTCTTATTCCCCAAAGGTTAACTCTTAGATGATAGCTACAAATAAGAGCTAGGAAAACATTTCAGCTTTCTCCTTATCATAACCATGGGGAGCAACACTGTGGAGCATCACAGGCCCACAGCACCGCTGCAGCCATCACAGCAATAGCCCGGTTGTAATGCCCATTAGAGCAGGACTGGTGACCTACCTTACTGCACCCACTTTGTACTAGGTGCAGAGGCTGGATTAAGTCCAAGACTGTACAGTTCTTGCTAGCAGATATTTTCACAGAAGCTTCTAAAAAAATCATACGTTTTCTCCGTTGCAATTCAATAAAAAGTCATTGGGCTTAAGCTTGATCAGTGTGGATTGGTCAGCCACTGTTCAGGGGGACTAAAATGGTATTTTTCTAATGTCAGCTACTGCCTCATGGCTTATCACTATTTTGTTATTACATTGTTTCAACTGATGCATATATGTGTTTTTAACTTATTTGGCTTGTTCTGTATGCATTTTTAAAAAAAATTGGCCTCTGACAATAAACAAACAAACAAACAAACATCTTTCTGCCAATATGTTTGGGATGTGCAATTCTCTTCTTTGAAACATGATAAATGGAGAGTGACAAACCCAAGACCAAGCAATAGGCTTCCTGACTGATAAAGCTTCATTCACTGGCTCCTTCTATATATTCTTGCCCTATTCAACTTGGTTAAGCTCACTGGATAACCTAGGGAAAGCGTCTTCTTTGAGCTTTAGATTCCCTAATTATAGAATGAACTGTTATTTATTTACTAGCATTTGTATGCCACTTTCTAATACAACACTATGAACAGCTTATTTTGATTATGTGCCACCAAATCGCTGCCAGTTCCTAACAACCGCGTAGATTTTCTCCAGGAAGATCTATTCCCACCCTTGTCCTTCAGATCTTCCAACAGCACAACCACTGCTACTGTAACTGAGTCCATTCACTTGGTATTGGTCGTCTTCTTCCTCTTCTTCCTTCCACCTTTCCCAGCATTAGAGCCTTCTCCAGAGAGCTTGATCTTCACATAATGTGTCTGAAGTTGTTGTTGTTCAGTTGTTAAGTCGTGTCCGACTCTTCGTGATCCCATGAAACGTATCACACCAGGCCTTCCTGTCCTTCACTGCCTCCCCGAGTTTGCTCAGTCTCATGCTCATTGCTTCAGTGATGCTATCTAACCATCTCATC